GTTCAGCAGCAGCAGAGCAGCAGTCTGAACATGTTAACAGTGGTCAAGTCCCTTTGAGGATCTAAACCTCCTGTTTCCTACAGTCCAGGAGCCCAGCTGCTGCTCCAGCAGAGCTAAGGGCTAAAAGATGAAGCAAGACAACACTGCAAACACTTTTCGCTCTGAATTCACAAAACCGCATTCAAATATGTAAGCTTAATAAGATTTTTCATCACTGACTCTGGAAGCACACTCTTAAAACCCTGGCCATAGCCACTGCATCTTGGTTAGGCACCAACATGGTACAGCAACCAGATACCAGAGCTGGATCCAGACATGCAGGCCCACGTGGGCTCTGACAATGTGAACCTCTTTGCAGTGCCACAAACCATATGGGTCGCATATTAACAAGTGTGCTATGCTGCTAATTTGCAGTATGGGGCCAAAATTTGCTACTGGGATTTCCCGATAGCAAAAAAAAAATCCTGGAAAACCCCCCCACAAAAAAGCAGCACAACCCACAATGAAGTGGCAAGCACTGGGACAAATGCAGAGACAAAGGAGCAGGCAGCCCAAGGCCTGCTCTTCCATCTCTGTCTACTGCGGAGCCCCTGTGCTGAGGCATCTCATGCCCCACAGCCAGCCGCAGCCTGGCTGGCTAGGGCGCAGGGTGCCTCAAGACAAGGGAGCAGGCTGCCTCAGGCTGGTTGCTCCCCTGTCTCCATGTGCCGCAGTGAGGGGGCTTCACTACAGAACCCCCACACTGAGGCACATTCTGCCCCAGCCAACCACGATGGTTAGCATGGCAGGGGGAGGGACATCCAAGCCCTTTTGTCAACTGAGAAACCTGGGTAAGAAGGCAGACATCTTCCACACCGGTGTCTGACTGTGCAGAGGTATGTTCAGAGCAGGCACTGTATCAACAAGGAACTGGAACAGGCAGGAAATGGGGCAACAATTTGGCTGAACAGCCCAGGGATACCAAGACCACCCACCCACCCACACCCACACCCGTGAGGATGTGACCTCCACTTCATTTTACATGGCATTCAACTGCATTTACCCACCAGTGATTGGGGCCCAGGCTCCCACCTCCAGCCTTCTTTTGGCCAGAGCTTCTGGGAACAGTTACTAAACAGTCATGTAGACCAGGGCAACAACCTATGGCCCAGGGGTCGGATCTGGGCCATGGAACACTTGATCTAGCCCGCAGCCATGGGGCTTCAGCAGCATTCAGCCATGGGAGGCTTTGGCTGCAGGTGCTTCTCTGTGCTGCTGCAGACACGAGCACCGGCTGCGGACGCTCTCCCTGCGCTGCTGCAAAGAGAAGCACTGGCTGTGACTGGGTTCTAGCACCTGCCTTGGACCCAGAGTGGATCGTTCTGGCCCACAGCCAGACATGGTTGCCTATCCCTGATTTAGAAGATGCCTGGGAAACTCCCAAAAAATATACCAGCAGGTTCTGTTAGGCAGCTGGCCTGAAACCTGTTCCTCAGTGGAAGAGATGCCTGAATGCTCAGACAGTATGTGACTCTTGTGGAAAGTGAGACCTTACATGGGACAACAAAGGACAACTCCAAGATGCAGCTCTCTGGGAAAACACCCTATCAACTTCAAAAAGCAGGAGCAGAACAATGGGGGCAGAGGGCAGTTTTAGAACTGCACAGAGGCAACTGCCCCGGTGATACTGAAGGTAGGAATCACACATATGGGCCCATTTACTGTTCTGCAACACTGTATTGCTGCTTTTTCTTCATGAGCTCTTATATTTTTTGACTTTGGGTTTTCTCTTCCTTTTGTCTTCAAAAATCCTAAGTTTAACAAAATAGAGGTGGCAACAAAATAGGCAACAAAGCAAGTCAGGGCCATTCCCTGCACACTGAGAAGAACATGGAGGCACAACACCACAATAGGAAAATCTCCATTTTGCCTCCACTGCACTTACTAAGGCAAAGTAACTGGTATCTGGGATGAGCAGCAAGGAACTCCTCATGGGGCCTGTTTTTGTCAGGGTCCTGATGCCCGCCAGCTGCAAGCCATTCATTTCCAAACATTTTGCGATAGTCAAGCTCTGCTCCCTTTCTTTCCTGAGGAAGGATCTGTAGCGACACAAGGATGACCACATAAAAAGTGTCACTAAATGTCATTAGCTATTCGCATGTTCAGCACTTTTTTGAAGCTTTCAAGAATGATGAACTTCCGAAACCAACGAATTCATACTCAGATGTCAATCGTTGATGTTGCCATCATTACAGCATGTAATAAGAACAAAAGATTAAGGTGTGAAAGCTCTCAGAGCACAACAATTTTTATTAACTATGAAACATTTCAGATCCTTTCATGTTACTAACATCCTCTTAACACAGAAAATGTTTGAGGAAGCACATCAAGGTTGCCAACTGCACGTGCACCGTGACAACTTGTGACCAGCAAAGGGCTAAACAAACAAAACTCACTCCTGGCTTTTGTGGCATATAGAAACAAGCTTTCACGAGGTGAGTCCACATGTGCAATTAATGAGAAGCAATAAACTCTGGAATCTATTGCTATTTGCACATGCACCCAAGATCACAGCACATTGAGCCGCTTAGAGCAGCCCCAGCCGTCCAGGCACACTGGGGGTCAGCCTGCCAGTCCAGGGCTGCTCCCCCTGGGCTCAATGTGCACCAGAGGGGCTGGTTGAGGCACGAGGTGCTTCACTGTGGAACTAGCCAGAAGGCAGGCCCTGCACTGAAGCACCCTCATGCCCCAACCAGCCAGGACAGCATCTACACATGCACTGCTGCAGGTTTTTTACTCCACAGCAGGATAGTACTTGTAAATACATAGTACTTGCACAATAAATTAGTTTACTCCAGCCGAACAGGGGCACATGTATAAATGCCAAGACATTTACTGTACAGTTAATTAGTCTACTGCCCAGGATGTCTTGGGTTGTTACTAAAAGGAAAATGTGGGTCATCTGCCCTGTTAGAGCAATGACCCCTGCTTAATAGAGAGGGGAAGTAATTCCCATTCAAATTGCTTCATACTAGTTTTGTTTAACCTGTCAATTAAAAACTGTGATCTGGGACCAAAAATCCCTTTGTAAAGTCAATGTAATTTAGACACTAAAAATTCATGCTCCATGACTTGCCCACCCAATGTCACAGAAAGCCAGTGGCAATGACACAAAGAGAGCCCAGGATGCCCAACTCTGTGTGGTGGCACCATCTTCATTTCCCCATCTGTGCTCAGAGATTCATAGATGTTAGGGTCGGAAGGGACCTCAATAGATCATCGAGTCCGACCCCCTGCATAAGCAGGAAA